GGTTTGTTGCCATCCCCGGCCCTTCAAGCCCCCGGGGTGCGGGATCAGCGCCTGGCTTCGCTGCGGGAGGCGTGAAATGGATGTTAACGCGATTCCTTGCCTGGTCCTGGGAAGTGAAGGGTGAGGGAAAGGCCGTTTTCCAGCCCTATAACATCAGGCTGGTGCTCCGGGGCTGCCCAGCAACTCGGGTGGGTAACCCACGTCTGCAGGTCTAGGGAGTTGTTTACCTCTCAGACCCCTCTTTTTATGCCTTGGATATTTTATAATGGGTTCTGAAAGGCATGGGAGGGAGTTAACCTGATTTGCAAAGCTATAGAAGAAGCCTTGATAAAATATTTGCATAACTAGAGCTTGTAGAGAGGAGTAACTAGGAAGAGGAAAGGGAACAGTGTCCAAAGGTAATGGATTGAAACTGAGATTGAGGTGAGAGATGAGGAGGGAATTGTGGAGTGTGAGGGTGGTGAGAGCCTGGCCCAGGTTGCCCAGGGAAGCTGTGGCTGCCCCATCCCTGGCAGTGTTGAAGGGCAGGTTGGATGGGGCTTGGAGCAGCCTGGGCTGGTGGGAGGTGTCCCTGCCCATGCAGGGGGTTGGAACCTGATGCTCTTCAAGCTCCTTTCCAACCCAAACCATTCTGTGACTCTAGAAGCAAAATTCTTCTACATCTGCTCCTGGGCTTGTGCCACGGATGTCCTTAGCAGAGGATGGTTGCAAACCAATACCTGATAAAAGCACAGAGTCCATTTCCTGTCAGAGTGTGTCTATCCAACACCCTATCCATCAGTACCCAGTGCTTTCCCAGGCCACCTGAGAATAGACTAACCCCAAACACAGTGATTTCTACCCCAGCCATGCTGAGTGTGCCCCACACAGGACCTGAGGTGGCAAAAGGCAGAGTTGTCAGTGAAGGCAGCTCCCAGCTTTCACTTTTCCCTGGCCAGAGGAAGCCAGGATAAACAGCAAAGCCCTCTGAGGCAGGTCTGAGGAAGGTTTATGGATTAACTCTAAAGTCCCTTGTCCTCTGGAGTGTGTCCTTCAGTATTGGCAAAGCAAGTTAATGGTCTCCATGCTTTTCCCCCTGTTCTGACCTTCTTCTCCCAGCTGTTCTGGGTAGACCCAACACCAAAGCTTAATGTCTTTCATGCAGAGAAGACTTCAGGTAGATTTTTTGTTTTACAGGCATGAACAGTTTAGCAGTTAACTGCCAGTTTCCTATTCCACTTGGAGTTTCTGGCACTTCAGTTTAGGTCTTATCAAGGCATATCCTTTCATTAAGGACTAACTTGTCCAACCTGATTTTGAAGCTTCTCTTCTGGATAATCTAATGTTTTTTTTGTTTTTTTTTTCCAAAAAACACCTATGAGACTTCCCTGAAGCAGGAAGGAAATGGCTACAGAGGGTCAAAGTAGGCCAGTAACCTTTAAGAAAAGGACAAAGCCAGGATTTTTGCGACCTGTGCTGCCATTATAGAAGGAGAAAAAATCTCCTGGGAGTTATAAATTGCTCTCAGGGAGAGAGATCACAGAGCCCAGGTGGGTTTTGAGCTGTGGAAACCCAGTTCAGGGCAACAGGATGAGCTCTCCTGAGTCACAGAAGTGTTTTTTTTTCAGAAGTGAGAGATATGGGATGTTCTGAAAATGTTTGGAGCCTGGAGTTTCCTTCTTGGTGAGAAAAAAACACTGGAGCTAGGGAGTTTTGAGGTAGGAAACCTGATGGAAACTTGCCAACTAAGTTATGCCCAGGATTAAGAAGATAAGCTTAAGTGATTTGTTTATTTTTATCTGGTTATGTATGCTTCCTGAGTGCAGCCTTTATTCTGGCACCAGTGGCAGTTAGCAGCAATGTTGTGTGCAGGGGTAATTTAGAGCTTACCCTAGGTCAGACACAAAGTGCAAACTTAGGTATTTTCCAACCTAAGCTTTAGAAACTGGAGTCTTGCATCTCCAGATCCCTTTCAAGTTTCCCCCTCCCAGCAACAGAAGCAGATCCAGCTGCAGCGTCAGGACTGCAC